CAGTAACTTACTTCTTCTGAACAGATCATCAATCCCTTGATGAAGTCCGTGCCCTTGTGATCCTATCACCTCTTTAAGCCTCACTTCTGAGCACCACTACATCAGAGATCAAAGCCCTTAATCCACATCTTTGGAGGATGCTTCATACTGAAAGTACAACCGTGTGGTTTTTGATACCAGGCAAAGGCCCTGTAATCTGTGGGGTTGCTCAAATACCCTTCATGCATGGCTGCTCCATTATGGCGGCACACTCATCATCCCGACGGGGACTTCCTGGGCAACTAATGTGTTGCTATGCCACGGAAATGTGAGGTGTGGCCAGCAGGGCATGTAGGGACTCTGAAGGGGCACAAAAACCATCACATAACCACTCTGAACAGTTCTGAGACGGAAGTGATGGAGGAAAGTGAAGAGGAAGAAAACTAGAACTTAACTGTCTTCATTTTGCTTCACTTTCACGGAAGGATGGCTGGTGAAGCCGGGGGTGTGGTGAACAGTGACCTTCAGAAAAAGCCATCACACGTGCCTGACAAGATCACCCCCACCTAAAGAATTTAATAAATCATAATTCCGCCTTTTCATTTTCAAAATATTAACAGCATTTCTTCAAACTGGAGACAAACTCACAGCTCCTATGATTTGCATATGAATACATTTTAAAAGTAGCATCCTTGAGCTTCCTTTCCCTGCTGATATGTTTATTCTGAAGCCCCCTGCATCATGTAGAACTGTATATTTCAAGGGCAATCTTGAATTCATCCCTGAATTTCCCACTGTGAATACCCGGCTGGGGCAATGACATCACAGGTTCCCAGGGAAGTAGACAAAGATACATGAGAGAAATACTATCTGACATTGCTTTCAAAATCATACATACTTAAGAAAAACAAGGGCAACTTCAGGAAAATAGTGCTGTTTCAAATGCTAAGGACAGTTTCTTATCATATGGAGTATTTATAGTTATGTAGTCAGCACCTTCAATCGTTTCTGCTATTCTTTACAAACAGGGCCTGAAGAGACACTTTACACAGCAAATGATATTATATATGTCAAATAGGTATGAAAAGATACTTTAAATCACACCTAAACTATTTTTAGGAGTGAAGGAAAATTCTAAGAAGACTTGAACACAGGAACATTGTGTGATACTATCTAAATATTAGAATAGTATTATGATCACAAAGACTCAGAAAAAATTGCAGAAAAGAAAATTTTGGTAGAGCACTTCTTTAATCTACTTATCTTCTTTTTTTTTTTTTTTTTCCCAGTACTGGGAATTGAACTCACAACACTGTGCTTGCCAGGCAGGTGCTGTGCCACTGAGCTAAATCCCCAGCCCTTCTACTTATTTTCTAAACTAGCAGCGAAATATAGCTTTTTCATGGGGTGCTCTCAAATTTTAATATTTCATTACTTGGGGATAAAATAATTTTTATAATGTGCTTCACTAGTTTAAATATATAGGGGTTTATTTTATTGTGCCACTATTTAGTCTTAAAATTCAGTGAGATTTTTCAGGTTTTCAGCCAGCTGAAAATATGTTTGCATATATATATATATATGTGTGTGTATATATATATATAGTCTTTCCTTTTTAAGTGAGATCATGAATCGTGAAATATAGTTCTCAGTTCACAGAGCAATTTCCCTAAGTTCAAGCACCTTCTAGCTGCGTTCATAGTGATGGATTATCAGTGGTTCATTCCAAAAAACCTTATTCCCTGCAAGAAAGAATGGAATGGGGTACGCTGGAGAGAGCATGACTACAACACCGCTCAGTACATCCACGGGCAGCAGGCCCTGACATCCACTCCCAGTAAGTGGAGACCTCGACTGCCTTTCCTTGTCTCACAGCCCCTGTTGCCCATGGACATACTTCTAAAAACACTTCACTACATCATCATAAATCCGGGAGTCCTGAGGCGGACCCTGCTCCAGGAGTCTGAGGACCTGAAGCTCAGAGCCAAGTGTGTTCTGTGATGTGCCGAGGAGGCTGCCCAGTCTTACTCCGAGCAAGCCTGGTCCTTCGGGAAGCCTTAGCACCAGCTCCGGCAGCGAACACCAGTTAGAGCGTGATGCTTCTACAGGACGCCGCAGCGCACCTTGCCAGCCAGTGTGTTTTGAGGCTTTGCAAAGAAAGATGCTACTAATTTTTTCCTAAATGGAAGGATTTATTTCAGTGCTCACATACAATTAAATGAGACAAACTATTTACATAAAACATAAGTACAAAAAATATAATACAATTTATACTGTACATAATCAGAGTTCTTATTTTGTGTTGCCCCTACCCCATGCCCCCAATCTTTGCAGTTAGGGTTGAAGAGGGTGAGAAAGGCATTTCCACAAAAGGAGGACTGCTGCACTCTTGGAAGGATTCGGGACTGTTCTTCAGAAACTTGTCGTTTAAAAAAGGGTGAACTGGGTTGAGATACTGAGGTCAGCAATCACCAAGGGCAGTGAGAGGGCAAAGCCTTTTCACTGCTGTAATGATAGCTAGCTTTGTCTTACAAATGTTTGCGTTCCTCAGAGGTGAGGCTGAGACAAGTTGGAGAAGCTGAGTTAATTTCCACTGATTGGCTAGGTATCGCCCCTCCTGGCCCTCTTTTCTGAACTTCCATAATTGATCCAGTGCAAGACAGAATGAGCTCCCTGCCTCACACTGACCTCTGAAAACAGTATCTGGCAGGTACCATTACACAGCAACGTGAGGCCAAAACCTACACAGCTCCAGGGGGAACTGAAGACCAGTGAGCTGACAGACAGAAAACAAAAAGTAATGAACAGAAGAAATTGCTGTTGCATAAGTCTGACAAGAAGAACACAAAAGAAATCTTGTGAAGAAACTGTCAGGATTGAAAAGACGCGTGGTATGCCCGAGAATTCCTTGGAAAAATATTCTGCAATTGACGGCCGTTTCAACAGAACAGCCGATATTTCATTTTCTCATTCAAAGGTAGGTGAAATGCCAAACGATTTCATTCTTGGGGCTGGGGATTTAGCTCAGGGTACAGCGCCTGCCTGGCAAGCGCAAGGTCATGAGTTCGATTCCCGGTACCGGAAAAAACAAAAAACAAATAAAACCCCAAACAAACGATTTCATTCTTGAGACAACTCTGTGATTATACATAAGGATCAATTAAATTAAAATTAATTTTAAGATTAGTAACTGTTTTCAAGTTTACCAAGGGCTGAAGTTGGCTGAAGAATTATCAGTGGAAAAAACAATAATCCCAAATAAGTTTATTTTGTATCACAAAACAGGCAATAGCAAATGAACACAAAATGAACTGTAACATCTTTAAAGTTAAATCAAGTCTAGTAACACGTAATTTTATTACAGTTTTGAAGAATCTTACACTGAACCAAGCTTGTGCATTTTCTCCACAGACAGAGCTGATGTGATTTTGGATGATCAGGTGGGAGGTTCCTACTGTGCTTTCTTTCAAAGTGCAGGAGTTCAAGTTTGAGTTCATCACACAGTCATGGGATAAGGGAAAGCAATCAACTTTAGCAGAGAGAACACTGTTAAGTTTTTAAAATCCAAACTGAGAGTACTACCTTTTGTTAATTTGTGAAGCCATTTTGACATTGAATCAAAAAATAGAATAAATCAGACAATGATCTAGGTGGTTCTCATCCCACACGTCCCATACCGGTTCCACCACTGGCAGCCTGGGTCTGGTTTTCCTATGCCTACGGACTTGGCTGAAGTGCAGTGAAAAACACACCTCTAACATCCACAGGCATCACATGGACATTCCCATTAAAGAACAGACACGAAGGTGTTTCTGGAAGATGTGAAACTTAGAGTGATGTCAGTTCGTGGGAGCTGGAGACTAGGTTAACCTTAATTCTCAACATACCGCTGCCCAGTGGGAGCCAGGCCACATCTGAAGATGAAGGGCTTTGTGGCCATTTTCTATTCCTGAGTTCAAAGAGGCATGGAAAGATGATTTTCTTCTAAGGGTATCCGATCAACTCTCTGCTTCCAAGTGGAACCAAGGATATCCAGGTGTAATGATGAAACATCATCTTAAACAAGGCACTAGCAACTTTTTACAAGAAAGGGAACTATCCGCACTTGCAGAGAGGGCAGCTAACGATGCTCTTCTCAGCATCACTGCGGAATAGTTCTCATTTTTCACAACCCAGACTTGGCTCTCCGCTTGGATTTATCTAACATTTGAATCATTTGGCATTAAATTGTCAAAAGACTGAGAAAGAAGAGGATCATGTTTGAACTACTGGCCTCATATTTCTGACTAAATACTAAAAGGAGGAATAAATTTTCCTGCCTGACTTTACATTTTAGTTTAAGAAATGCCGAGGGTACGTTTCTACCTCTGCATTTCTCCTAGAACTGGAGGTGTCCTCGAGTAGTTTACTACTGTAAGCTTCGCTGTGTCCATACAGTAAAACCCTGCTGCTTGGGCAAGAGTTGATACCGTCTCTGATCACGGGCAATAAGCTAGAGTGTTGTCTGCAGCAGAACTAATATGCTCTTCACAAAGTGTCGTCTTTTAGAAAGAGTGCCAGGCTCTAAAAGTAGTTTTGTTGAAGCTCTAAGGACATCGCCTTGTGAACTATATTTTGAAAGAGAAAAGGTCTCCATGTTCTGGTACCTCAGTAATGCATGCATTTTTGATAATGCAACATGTGAAAATTGAATAAAAACTTTTGATCCATCTGCTAAAAATGTGAATAATGCATGTTAACATAAATCCATAAAGAAAAGTCATTTTAGAAATTGCTGCCGATAGTCCAACATCCCATCTATTTTTCAACTTTCCAAGGAGAAAAGGGGTAAATACAGAAGCAATACTTACTCTTTTGTTTTATTGGGTTATCAGAGCAGACAACCTGAATCTGAATACCATGGCTCAGTATTTGTAGTGTTATGAAATATCTTTAAATAGAATTTAATAACCATAACAAGCAAAAACAGTAGAAATAAATCCCACAGTGTTTCCTGTGCTTCACATATTTTATCTCACGTGGCAGTATAGTGTGTCCAGCATTTCCTTTTGAGCATTTCTGAGAGGGACATGAATGTTACTTTGACTTTTTTGATTTTATGCTCATTTCGCAAAGAAGCAGTGTGTTCGGAATAGCTTCTAGTATTGGTGGTACATAACCATACTCAATCCTCCACAGATGAAAATAATCAAACACTGGCAATGCCACAGCAGCAAACACTTCCAGGTGCACCATGCAGTGAGAGGGAGCACGAATGAGGGGTGGGCATGGCCAATGCCATCTGTGAGCTCCAACATGGATCATATTAGGGAGAATGGCAGACCTTGTTCATGGGTTGGTTTAAGGTTTTTGTCTTGACAAAGTCATGAAAATTCACTGTTGGAGCCATGAGGCAGACACAACCCTGCCACTTGGAGAACTGACGCTGATGCAGCTCCTTGTACCAACCCTTGTTACCTAATGCCTTCGCCTGGCTCCACTGTGACTTTTTTTGAGACAGAAATGCTAAAGTCAATGAAAACAGCCCAAAACATCACTGAAAGCAAGAAAGCCCCATTGAAATGTAGAAGATGCTTTGAAGGTAAAGCTAATGGCCACGAGAAAAAGACAAGGAAAGACTCTAAAAGTAAGCAAAATAAAGAAGCATAAGGGTAGTTATAAATCCAATGCTATCAAAGCTGTGTTTAGAAAAAGTAATTAGCTGTGTGCATAACGTATTTTAGGATAAAGTTTCCTGTGATATTCAACTATACTGCAACGTATCCTTTAGGCGGCATGTTGGGGACACACAGTCTCCTTTGCTGAGAGTTTGTCACACCTTTGAAGGCAAGCCCATTAATTCCACAGAGGTGCAGGGAGAAGCATTCACTGAAACAAGTTTTGTCTCCCATGATTTTCACGCCCTTGCTGAGGGACCTGTTTCTCATTTCCTTTGCCATCTACTTATCCGATAATTCACCACATTTGCTTCTTTTCCATCTAGGGTCCCCATGAGTTAAAGGGGGGTCCCAGGTTCACCCCAGACCTTGTGGGCTGGCTGTTCCTGGGGATAGAGGCATCTCTATGGCAGGGACAGCCTTTCATCCATTCACCATTTGTAATTCTTCAGTTCCTACAGAATCCCCACCTATCCTTCCATGTGTACAAGAGCCCCTTCCTTCCCGTCATATCAGGGCTAATCCCAGACCCAGCATACTTGATCAAGTTCACAGTCTTACACCAGCAGGAAAGTGCAGCTCTCGAGGGAGGAGGCACAGGAATGTGTCTTGGGGCAGTTTTGAAGGCAATGCCCAGGAGTCTGGTAACAGTGGCTCTTCTGTACAGCTGAGCCTGACTTCACCAAAGTCCCCAGATACTTTGGAGGACCCGCTGTGCCCGTGCAGGGCTTCTGCTATCCCTTCCACAGAATGCTTGTGTCCCATACACTGATGGTGATTAGTCTACTCCGGAGAAAGGAACCTGAACAGCACTGGGCCTTGCTCTCAAATAATCTAAATGTGTGACGAAAGCCGATTTTCTAATGAAAATCAGCCAAATTTCAACTGTACTTGGAAAAAGCCACAGGAATTAAATTGTGGTTAATGTCATTTGACAAGTTCAAATCTGTGTAGCTTAAAAGTATATCTCTATTTGTGCTGCTTAAATACAAAAGAAAAGAAGGAAGGAAAGAAAGAAGAAAGGAGGGAGAGGAGAGATAAAATGTAACTCTCTGTCAGAAATTTACATCTTGATGCCCAGTTTTCAGCAGGAATCCTAGACCTAGAGTTCCAGCTGGCAGAACAGCTGCTCCATGGAGGAGGCAGCCCTGCAGACAGCGGACACCACGCCATGAGCCACGTGAGGCTCAGGACCAGGACAGGTCTAGAGGAAAAGCGTGCGCAGTGCCCACGATCAACAGCAGCACAATGATGGGAAAGGAGACGTGATTATCCCACAGATGGTTGGATTACTCAGAACACAGCTAAGATTATCTGAATGAAGCACTTTCTGTTAAAAGAGAAAAGTTGTGGGGGGGTACTTTCCTTTGAACACAGTATCAGGAGCAAAACATGAGGGGATTTCTTTTTGTAGCGCTAATCTTAAAGGCTTGCATGATCCAAAACTTGAGACTCTGGAAGAGGGAGGGTGCTTTTTCTGATCATTTCATACGATTGCTTAAAGACCAGCTTGGATGCCATTTAGAAAGTATTTCACATGAAGTCCAGTGACAAGTCATAAAATATCATGTCCTCCTTCTTAGGGGAGATAAAATGACCATTTCTGCTTAGAAAATACTTAGGAGAGGGTGATTAAAAGAAAAAAAGCTAAGATGTGCTACACTGTGAGGATTTCATTTTCTTAAAGAGATGAGTCAAAGCATCCAGTGAAAATCCAACCTGGAAGCAATCAGGAAACCTCCTGCTCTGCTTGCTCTGCTGAGCGGATGCTGCGGAGGCGTGTACAACAGAGAATATTCACGCCACGTACACAAGGTGCATGCAACGTCATGAGGTCCTGCTGGGAACTCCTTGTACTTCCCTTTACAATTTAATAAACTCTTGCGAGCCCAAGCATCAGACGCACAGAGCGGTGGGTTGAACTGAACAGAGAGCCACTGCTGCCAATTTAGGTATTTCAGAATATTTAGAACTCAGGACTATTCGTTATTTATTAATCATAAGATCTTCCCAATACTCTCTGAGACTGCTGTTTTAAAATGGGTAAGATAAAAACACACGCTAATAACTCTGTTCCTCACTACCCCTACTGTACATTTTCACTAAAAAGGTTCTTCTATCAATAAGTACAGGGATTGATATCTGCTCAGGCCTTTACTGTAATGCCCAGAGGCATCAGATGACCCTTTTCAGTTCTGTTCTTACTTTCGATAATTATTCTACCAATTGGCATATGCTTTATGGATCCATTGTTGGCAAGCAATTTATCTTTTCTCTTCTGGTGACTTCAATGAATGATCTTATAACACCCTGAAATGCTAATCCACCATGGAAGCTCAACCACAGGGACAGTCAGAGCCCTCCCTCCCTTCCTGTCCTTCCTTTAGCCCCTGAGCCCAGGTGCCACAGTGCACGGAGAGGAGGGGTTGGAGGAAAGCTGGGCAGGGAGACAGCGCTGAGATAAAGAAAAGGCACCAGAGCCGAACATCGGCTCCCCTGGTCTGGGGCCGCAAATGACAGCCTGGTACAGGGGTGTCACCTCCATGTGCACTGTGACAGCCCCAGGAAGCCAGCTTTACACGTCATTAATGTTCTTGGTTGGGGCCGAGCGCCGTGCATTATTTATATCAGGGAGATGGAAAACAAAAAGATGCTTGTCATTCAATGTCAGCTCTCACAATACTCTGAATAGTACGGAAACAATTTTTAAAAGTTATTTTCAGTTCTAGATCTGAACTTTCAATACTTTCCCTAATTGGCAGTATCAGTGTGCAGGGAGAGGAGGCGTGGAGTCCATCCCCCTGCTGGCCAGCGGTTACGCTACAGGCTGCTCTGCGGGACACTCCTGGTGGGCTTCAGGCCAACACGAAATCCAGAAGTCACCGCGAGGCTGGCTCGGAGCAAGCTGCAGGTGCTGTCCGTGTCCCTGCGTCTGCGCCTCCGCCCCGGATGCTCATTCCACGGCGGGGCAGTCACGGCCTCCAGACCCCGGTGGGCTCTCAGCTGACCATCAGCTGGGCAGGTGCGGGACAGACAGGATCTCTGGCTCCCTGGGCTTCTCCGGGAAAGAAGCTTTCCAAGTCCAAACATAGCTGCTTCCAAAAATCCACAGTGTTTTCCAGACTGAAACTTGGGAGATCCATGGTGAACACTTCGTAGGCCAAATTCATTTTCTTCATTTTATCAGACAATATGGGCTTTGTGGAGAGAGGGACTCTCAGATAAGGTGCTTATTTCTTGAATTAAAACATCAGAAAGACCTATGAAGACCTCAAAATTAATCAGGAATTTGCATTTCTAAGACTCCTTCCTACACAGGTGGCACATATAGAAAATAAAGGTCATGAAACAATGGACTTGTTAGAGAAATAGTCCAACTGCAATAAAAGAACTTCACACCACGGCTCATTTAACAATGATCAAGGGTTTGCTGTAGACCAGATTTTCACTGTGTCTTTAGTTTTTTGTAGCATTTTAAGAATGTGTATTTGGGGCAGCCAGGGGACACTCTTGGCTTGAAATGCACTTGAAATAGACCCAAACTTCCTCTCAGAAGCCTCAGAAACATGGAAGTCGTAGAGCACAAGCTTTGAGGAACTGAGGATTTACAAGAAGCCAAAAATATCAGAGCTATTAGTACTCATCGTAGTTATTGAGATCTGTAAAGTAGGCATTAGAATAGGTCTTCCCAGTGAGATGAGGGTTGAAGTACTTGTTTCTTTCCTCTAGGATCAGGTTGTTTTTGTTAAATGCCTGTAAAATATACATTGAAAAGATGTCAGACTACTCAGTAAATAAGGATGTTGAATTTTAGCTCGTTCTATGGTTTCATTATTTTGGAAAGTACTTTCTCACAAGCTGGCTTCCCCAGATTATTTGTCTCATGGAAGACTTGCCTCATAACTACAGTGGGGCTGACTGTCTTTGATATATTTGGTTCTATTTTTGAGCTTTAGTAAAGAAGTTACTGAGAGAAGCAGGGCATCAGAAAACCTAAATCGAACCTTCCAGAAAAACTTGAATGATTTTCAGCTCAGAGACACTTTAAATATTACCACATATATCAAGAGTATATTTAAGTAGCTTTCAGGTTTCACTGGACAGGTACACTTATCAGTGATCTTGACAGAACTTATGAACATGCATCTGATTCAAATGCTTTGATTTCTTTTCCCTCTGCACTTAGTGTGCTGAGGTGCCCTCTGGGACACGAGGCCCTTTGGCAGCCATAAAAGCCACCTGCAACCTCAAAGAAATGGACCATGCTGAGTGGAGAGTACATGAAGACAAAATAAAGATGAAGCTGAGTCAGCAGAGACCAATTGCTCAGGACTAGTCTGGGAAAGGTATAGATGAAAGTTCTAGGAGAATCCATTAAAGACTAGGCAGCCACCTCTGTACTCCGTGTCCTTGGCCTCAGAGGCAGCACCACTTCTGGCCATCTTAAAAGTGGACACAAATGTAATGGGAGCACAGGCCAACTGAGTTACACAGATCAGTCGGTGCATGGGAATCATGCTTAGAGGAGCCCTCCCTTGGGCTGCTGGCACTGGTCTGGAAGCTCCTGCTCACTGAAGGAGCTCCCGTTCCTCTGTGCACTCTAGGATATCATTTCTGGGAGGACGTAAGGGCCTGATCTTTACTCCTGGTGCCCCATTCCTTGGGTTCACCATCCAATGGGGGCAGTCCTGATGGATTCTGGATCACGGCTCAAATAGAGGCCGTGGGTCCAGGCAAACTGGCTGCATCTCTACCCAGGTAATGGAGAAAGGCAGCCACAGGGCAGAGAGGGGTCAGGGGAGGATGCCAAGACTCCAGGGACCCCCTGAAGCGGTAAGAGCCAAAGACATACCACATGCTCACGTAGGAAACTGTGACAGCAGAGAGGAGCCATCAAAACCCTCTCCAGCAGTGTTAAGATAAACCACCAACTTAAGAGAAATGTGACACATGGTCAGACATAACTCAGGGAGTGCCCTCTACCCATGTGCATTATACGGCAGGGTGGAGCAAGTAGATGGGAAACCTCGATATCTTTCTAGCTGCACACCTGACCTGACATCCCACATAGACACAAGAATAGCAGTTACTATTTCCTGGGTGCTGAGTCCTGAGTGCATCAAGTCAATGAAAACCTCACAACAGAACGTGAGTATGCATTGTTATACCCATTTCAAAGATGAAGACACTGGAGTTCAAAGAAGGTCAGCTCTGTTCCTTCATTAGATGTGGACACCTGATTACCACAGTTTGGCCCTCATCACTGCTGCTCAGTACTATACATGTTCTCCGTGGGGAGCTCTTCTCACTGCATGCCCTCTCTTCAAATGCACAGAGCACAGCAGGGCTGAGCGAGACAGAACAGAGACCCACTGGCCTCCAGCATTCTCGCTGCTGCTGGCCTCGTGTCTCTTCGTAGCTATATTCCCAGTAGGAGAGGCTGTCTTCGCATGGGCAAAGCAAAGCTAACAGGGTAGTTCTTTAGCAAGGGGGCCTCTTCCCCTGTCAGGTACTGTGTGGTGACACCACCAGGCTTTGCTAACACTCTAGGGTCCACCAACCTTTGCACATCTGGCTGCAGGTGTCACTGCTGATCACTTACCTTGATAGCCTCCACTGAGTCGTACTTGTCCAGTTTGTTGATGTGGTTGGTTATGCTGGTGTTGAGAGGGGCGGGCGACACGGGGTGGATGACAGTCGCGTCGTGGGATTGCTGCTGGTAGCGCTGGCAGTAGGTGTAGACAAGCAGGGTGAGGAGGCAGCCGAGGATGGAGCTGCTCAGGCCCACGGCAATCATGTGGAACATGTTGAACTCTGGAGGACAGAAGCAACACATGGCTATGCTTCAGAAGACCACACTACGAAATTGCTGAAAGCACTTCAATGACAAGAGAAAGAGAAAAGTATATCCCTTCCAGAATGAAAGAAATCACAGCTATTTCCTTCCATGTGTCACAGGCAATAGAAATCTTCTCCAGAGGGAGCATAGTATATTTTAAATTCATGCTTATTCAAATTATAATTAGAGGCATTTTAAAACTTAGTATGCCAGAAGAAGCGTCTAGGTTGTTCTCTCCTTTGAAGCTTGCACAATGCCGTTCTTCTGTTCCACGTTCATGGCCATCTCTGGCCTGTGGGATTTTGGGGAGCAGTGTATACTGCTCCTTTACCTGCATTCAACATGGCACATCCACAGCCCAAGGGGGTACGCTGTCATCCCGATAAGCCACGCTCTCATCCCCACAGCTGCAAGCCACGCTGCTTCCCCCGTCTTCCTTATTTCATTTCATTTAAAAGTGTTTTCCGTTTACATGAATTCTCACGTTTTCCGTTATATTTTTGAATGTGAATATAAACACATTGCATAATATTAGAAACTTCCAAAGGCTCTGAAGGAAAAATACATCTGCCTTCTTTGTTAGAGGTAACCATTGTAACTACGCCTTCCAGGGTCCATCCACGTGCTCAGCCCATGCATGTATAGATGGGAGCCTGTGGTCTGTCTTTTTCATTTATGTTGTATTTTCATGATCGTATCAGGAAAATGGTTTACTCTAAAGAAATGAAGGATGTGTGCTAAAGGGATAAAACATGATATTTTAGGAGGCCATGAATTGACTCTTTCCACCTATTGTTTCTCCATTCAGTAAGCATCTTTATTTGGGGTTCTTTTCCTTGAGGCAGGAATATAAAATATTCAAAAGGTGAGCTGGGATAGACTGACATCTCTGAAACAGGAGTGGTGTGGGTGACAGGAGGACTCCACGATGCCCCACATATAACAATAAAAAACCAGGCATCCACTGTGGGTTTCCAAAACACCACTGTCAAAGTTTCAAGCCTTTCTGGAGGCAAAGGTAACGTCTAGGCAGTGGTTGCAGAGCTGAAGTAGGAGAAAGTCACAGAAGACAGAACAGGACCTTCCTTCTCCCACCCTGCGCTGGCCCTCTGTGCCTCAGCACCCGCAGGTTACCAGGCTCTGGTCTCCCCTGCTCAGAACACGTCCCAAGGACACCCGCCCTTCTCCCAGGTGTCCCGGCTGTGCATCACCGAAGTGTACATGCCCACCCTCTGTGTCTGTTGTCCTTCTGTGATCTGTCATCCCTGGATCAAGGGGAACTATGCAGATGCCTGCTGGGTACAAGCTCAGACACCAGATGATCCTGTCCGATAGAAGAGCAGTCTTCAGGGCTCTGGTGGCAACATGACCCTGCAGGTCTGTCCGTCATCTCTGTGGCCAGGTGTGTTTGCACCTTAACCTTCAGGACCTTCTCCCCTCCTTTCTGCCTCAAGGAAAGAAACTCTCCTCAAAAGAGCTTCCTCTTTGTGCTCCATGACCCAGAAGCCTACTGCCCATGCTCACTACCCAGAAGGGTGCATTCCTCCAGTGCAGGCCCAGAGCTGACGTGGTGTCAACCACTCCCTGTCCTTCAGGGGACACCTGGGGTAAAGTCCTAGCAGGATGCCAGGACTCCAGCTGAGTCCTTCCTGCTCCCCACAGAGGCCAAGGGTTGGGAGGGCCCTCAGGAGAAGCTGAGCCTCAGAGGATGGGAGAAGCCCTCAGGACCCCTGCAGTATGTGATGTCAGAAGTTCAGTACCCCTTATCTGCCCCTAAGCCGCAGTTTACCCTATATTCTGTGCTCCTCTCTGCTTCAGGATACCAGAGTCCAGGGGTCCTGAGAGATGGACCTATCACCTGAAGTGGAGGGACACAGTGACCCAAGGCCACTTCCTCTTGGAGTCAGGGTCAGCCCTGGCCAACATCACGCTGCTAGATGCCCTGGAATTCCACACACAAGTGCAACTCCTGACTTAGGCTGATGCTGGACAGTCTAGCAGACGGTACAGGAGCTTTGCACAACCGCCCCATATGGCACAACCACCTGGGTCTCCAGCCCTGCTTGCTTGGCCAGACACAGGACCATAGAAGACTTCACAAACCTTCCGCCTTTCCTGGTTTGGTTGTGGTGCCTCTGGAGCCAGAGGGCTCCCAGCCTGGAAGAGTTGGATAAAGCATCCCGGGCCCGTTTCACAACCACCACCAGGATTTTACTGTAACCCTGGGGTTAACCTTAAGAGAAGCAAGTGCCAAGATCACACGGGCTCTCGTTTCTCTGTATTTTAGCTCTTAGGACTCCCTGGGGTCAATGTCACATACTGATAAAAATATTTTCTGCTGCACTGATAACTCGTATTTCATTATAACACACAGAAGATGTACGATGGTCCCCACATGCAGATACTTTGTCATTAGTCAAATGAATCATCCCTGTAGGTGCCCGGGGAAGGCTGCGGCCAGCTGACATCTTCACGAGGATTATGGAGTCTTTGTGTCTCGTGCAACTAAAAATACCTCAGTTGAAAAATCTCCATGAGAGCACATTTTCTAAAGAGGGAAAAAAGCAGTGCCTGTTTAGTCTTTTTTTGAAGCTCTTTACCCCTTTCTTCTGAATATGTGTCCTTCTTTATCACTATTTTTAATTTTTTTGGTCAATAAAGCTGGAATACAGACCAACTCTCCAGTGGTTTAACTAGGTGATTTTCTGTGCAAAGTGTGATTGCTTTGTCACAGAGAAAATGCATCTGTGTTGTCTCGCTAAATACCCTCAGACATCCATGCTAGGTGATGGCTTTTGTCAATTAGCTCTTCCCTATGGTCCATCCCATCTCTTCCCACATATGTCAATGCCAGCAGCCTAAAGATCTAGGACAATCAGGTCCAAAGGATGCACAGTAACTGATGTTTCTGTGATTTAGCCATCAGCATCTCCAGGCTTGGCTCTGGCATGTCCAGTCATCCAGCACGGCTGGTTCAGCTGCCAGACATCACTCTAAGACAGATGTGGCTTTGCACTGTGTCTCCTAGGTGCTAGCCTGGAAGGATTTGCACACAGGGACCCAGGCAGGGAGGCTGGCCTGGAGGAGTACACTGTAAACTTGGATGATTCCAGTCAACTCTGCTGAGCTACCAGCTATGTTGCCCTGGTTCTCTTGTAGTTTCCGAGGCTGGCAGGACATTGTATACACTGCTCCCCTACTGACTTTCATGTTCTCCTGCAGGCAGCAGACAGACTTGAGCTATGGCACTGACCAAGAACATCACCTAACCAGGGCTGCAGGGGCAAGGTTCCTGCACATAGTCCATCTAGACACGTACTACAGAGATCCTTTCCTGAGGCCTTTTGGGTGTGAACCTCCCACTGAATCCCACTGCTGGCTTGGACCTGCATCACCTGTGCAGACCTGGGCCAGCAACCTTACCTCTCTGAGCCTTGCAGTGCCCGCTTAGAAGACACAGATAACGACACAGCTGTTACTCTTTTCAACAACTTCTAAATATGCAATTTCTGGGCACAGAGTTCTCAGCACTCATCTGGCAGCAAAACCTGACCTGACGTGACTCATTCTGCTGCAGTTATATCGCACTGTGCCCACATTTCATGGGAGCACCTCTAAAAACACTGTTTCTGGAGTTCACCTCCATACTCTGAGGGTGCCCTGAAATGTGCAGTGCAAGCTCCAAATCACTCCTCTGGGATCTGTGAGTGTCCAGCTGCAAAACTCTTCTCCGTCTCCAAGACTACATAAAAAGCTGTGGGCCATGGTGCCCACATGAATGCTCCTTGTGAGGACTACAGGGAACACTGACTGCGTGATGCATTTACTGCAGTGTCTGGCACACACTGGCCAGTCTAATAATACCAAGGGGAACTTTACCGACATGATTCTTTCTATAAGAACTGCTGCATGCTCACCTTGCAGCTGGAGCCTACATGAGCAACTGCCGGTCAGTGAACTTACTGCAGCGACTTAGGTCACACCCTGGACATTGCCTCCCTCGTGTGCCTGCATCTCTTACCACATGCTTGTTCCAAATGGGCTGGGGCTGTAGGTCTCCAATGTGAGCTTACAGAACTGATACAGATTACTGCGTGAAAGGGTGGGTGGATCGACAGCCGGCCCACTAAACAGAGAGGATATAATCAGTGAGCTCTTTAGCAGTGCAGTTAACAATGGCAAGTGCATTTCTAAAAGATGCCTGTGAAGCCCTGGAGTCCATGGTGGTATAAACAGAGACCAAAACCTGCTGGGCTGAGCTCTGTGGATCACCCTGGTGGGATGGATTATGGCAGGAATGAGTGTGTATGTGTCATCAGCTGCGCATATGAAAACGAACCTCTTAGGGCAGACATCAGTTGAAATTATTGAAGGTGGATACAGTTAATGGATCCAGAGATCGAACAGTCAGTCCTTCATTCAGACATGTTCACAGTCCACTTTTACTAAAGCTTTGAACCAAAGAATGTGGCTCTTTGACATTCATTGTTGTAGAAAGTTTGAAAAGTTTCTCTGGTGACACAGGTGTCATCTGATGCCCGATCACAATGTAGTCGCTCCAGTCATCTGGAGATTGGACAGTGGCAGCCATGGATTTGTGTGAAAACATAAGTAACTGCATGGATTCAGTTTTACTCATGGAAGATCTAGCTGTAGCTCACATCAATCTCTCTGATTCCTAAGGCTTACAGACCTCAGAAGCATCTGCAGACCTTAGTAAGCCACAGACTGCTGGACCCCAGCAGAGACGCAGGTCCTGCAGGTGGAGGCGGGGCCTGGGAATCTGCATTTCCATCAAGTCCCCAGGGGATGTTGAGGATGCTGACCTGGGGACCTCACTGTGGGAACCCCTGACACATGGTAAATGTTAACTATTCCCATTTAAATACAGATGTAACATTCTGGGATCCATGAGTGTCTCCACTCATCAGCAGCAAAAACACAAAACACAAAGGGGTGAGAAATGAACAGAAGATATTAGGGTACAAGTCAGAAATTTGTTAAAGGGAAGAACTTACCTCCACATCTTTTCTCTTCTACACTACTGGATCTCGCCACAGATACTTCTGGAGAAACAAAAATCCGATCACAACGCATAAAGGGTGTTGGTGGGAAATTCATATTTATGCTGCATTTACAAAATGCTGAACGATTTTGAATCTAATGCGCGACTCAGTTCCAAAACCTTGATTAATTATAAGAAGTGCATTTATTTCTCACTTTAAACAACCCAAGACTGCCCGGGTTAAGTGATCTTCAGCAGGAAAGGATGAGACTCCATAGGACAGAAAGGAAGTGCTGTGGCCCCTCAGGCTGAAACCAGAGCACACTGACTCCCTGTTACAACGCGGCGTTTCTGTTACACCCACCAGCTCTGTGATCCCTGCGGTGCCTGTCTGCGTGAAGACACATCACAGCCTGTGTTGTCACATTCTCTTGGAGGGAAACAATTTCGCACAGCTCAGAGAAATCCCCTTCACACCTAAGGTGACTTAAAATCTAAGTCACTACTCAGGAGCCCATTCAAGACCTTTGTCACACCACTCCACAAGTGAGATGCCAGGGCAAGTCAGAACTTCTAAGTGTTCTAAACCCTGAGGAAAAATGTGTTCTTTCAAGAGTCTGGGAACGCCACTCTCTTCTCTATTGATTTTTTATATTAAATACATCCCTGGGGCTGGGGATTTAGCTCAGTGGCAAAAGCACCTGCCTGGCAAGCGCAAGGTTGTGAGTTCGGTTCCCGGTACCGGAGAAAAACCAAAAAACCAAAAAAATAAATAAAATAAATAAATAAATAAATACATTCCTGTGGTTAAAACAACAAACTCTTACACATCTCTGAACTATGATCAATAACTATGGTGAGTGTTTACATTTAAAAAAATGTCAGTCAAAAACAAATCGCCATAATCCCCCTTAAAACTTTCTCTCTTCAAACATACTTATCCAGTCATTCTTGCCACTTTCTGAAGAAGTTTTCCAAGTTCTCTTTCATGAGCTTCTTTAGCTGTGCTATCCTGGTTGCCTCAGTCTCCTGAACTGATTTAAAATGTTCACCCTTCATAGTCATTTTGGCTTCAGGGAAGAGCCAGAGGTCACACGGGGCTGAGCTCAATGGACAAGGTGGAGGAGAACCATTGTGATAATGTCATGAGCCTGCCTTTCCCTTGGAAAGCATTCAGCTGCAGCATTCACTGTATTTTTGTGTATAACTTATAAAAATACTCACGAAAGAGAACTTCCAGAACTGCTTCAGAATGCAGCAAGAACCACAGGACAAGAGTGTTCAAAGTGAGGGAAAGTATTTTGATTAAGAACAATGTGTCATGAATTTTTATTATAGTAAGAATGATCTACTATAAATATTCATCATATATTTTGATCACATCTCATAATACTATCCATAATTAAAGTCCCTTATGAGGCTAATACTAATACTTTTCTCTAAGACATTATCTTTTCCACAAATGGAGGGAATCAAATCTGGTTTGTAGAACTGAATATTACGATTTTTTGTAATAGAGTGGTCTTTGCTTTGATTCCCAACATAGTCCTCAGTTGCACAGAGGTTATAGGTTAGATGGTTTATGCACGTATCGAGAGCACTGTACCCACAGTGGGAATACAAGTGACTTGTCACTTACTAAATGTAAACTCCAACTTCACAATGGAAAGGTGGCTGGGAAGAGGACAGACTAACCTCTTCTGCAGGGTGAGAGTAATGATAAACATCCATTTCTCCTGATATCGTAAGGGTTGCTTGAACAGAATGAATCTCTTTTTCTATGTACACACACACACACACACACACACACACACACAGCACTGACAAAGTATTTAACCCAGTACTAAGATAACCACATAGACTATTTTTGAAGCCAAATCTCCTGAATATATTAGAATCAATAAATTACAGAAAACATCGTGCTCAAACACTTTAAATTCATGCACTGCATTCTATCTAAATCTACAGTTATTGATAAAACTACCTTTAAGTCATCTCAAAACTAGAAAATGTGATAGGATCACTTTTATTTCACCAAATGCAAAGGACAGACACAACTCTGACTGCTGACTCATTCTCTCTCTACATGCTGAAATGAGTCTGTTCACACTGATGAACACACCTTGCCCTTCATCCCTTACCTGGGATGAAGTTGGAGTCAAAAACGCACGGCCGGCTCTCTGTGTTGTTCCCGGAGCACTGGCTGCCCACCGGGAACGGAAGGAGGCAATGGCGGACGCGGATCTGGACGCCAGATGGGTCGCACACAGACCAGTCGGACCACTCTGACCAGCTCTCTGCAGTGAGCAGAAGAGGAGCACCCACTAGGGTTACCACTGAGACCAATCAAGGCAGGAGCACTGTCAGGTTACACGTGTTATTCTGGGCTTTCACACCACACTCTAACAGTTCTATACGTAAGTATGATATCATCCTATTTTCTGACCAGTCCAGCAAATGAAATACACACTAGGAATAAAAATGTCACATTTTTATTCAGACAGAGCATCTTTAAAATAAATTTTCTAACTCCCACATGACATTATGTAGTTGTAGGCAAACAGTGGACAAGCTAATCTATGAAACATAGCTGTGTACAAACTGCTAGCGTGGTGGACAAAAGTCATTAGTGCAGACAATTTCTGCAAGCCAGTGCTCCCCTCCAAAGAGCAGCCCTCAAGCACATTCGTGGACAGCTCCTGAATAAGCTCCACAGACTGTGTCCTGAGGCAAGAGAAGTAGCGATGTTCCTGAGAATTTCCTGCATGCTGAGTTGGAGTTTAAAGCCTTTTCGCCTCTGTTGTGAAAGTGATTTTGCGGAATCCATCTACCAAGTCCATGGGGTAGAATTCATTCCAGCCTGGGGCTACTGAAGCCCATAAGGGCAATTCCCACATCCTAGGTCCAGGCCAAAGGACAAAGGAAGGAAGGACAGTGTGCCCTCAAGTGGAAGATCTGCTGGGGTATGTGCAGTTCTCCCAGGTGTTAAGAGAAGAAGAGCTTTCACATTCATGTAAAACACTCAAAAACATGAACTTTTATGATTTATAGGCTGCTAATCAATACAAAATGACATTTTGGAGTATGCAGTTTGGCAGGAAAATTTGGAATTTTAACTTATGTTTTCACCCAGGTAAAAGGAGCATTTTTTTCTTCCAAATAAATAAAATGTCAGGTTTTGGGATGATCTTGAGATTCTGGTTTCTAGGCCCTGTTCAATATCATTACCACCAGAATGATCTTTCTAGAATGCTCTTCAGGGCAAGCTAATAAAGTGTTTCAATGTCAAAGTCAGATCTGCAGAATTCCCTGTAGTTTGGGAAACCAAGCTCCTTCGTGCGTGTGCACGGGGAGATGCAGGAAGAGCTGCACAGCGTCTCTGCAGACACCTGTACCCATGGAGATACAGCCCCCGGAATTCTGACACTCAGAGTCCCGAGGCAGGTCAAGGTCCCCCAGATTAGTCTTCTGACCACCAAGCATGGCTGCACCACCTTCAAAACTTGTGCATGGAACACTACGGAGTGGATCCTTTGACAACATGAGAGTGGGTAAGAAAACAAGGAGCTATGGGGGACTCCCCTGACTCACCCCTGCAGACGCGGGTGGGAGCTCTACAGTTATTCTTCCCCATGTCTTTCCTCCAACTTCTTCTCTCCCTTAAGGCCCTGCCTGTGAGTCACTAGCACGCTCAAGGTCAAACTGGCATGTATTTCCCAATAGTGTGGGTTTGCTAATAACATGCATACATTATGCCACTGAGGTGCCAGAGGTTTTTAAGACTAGGCAAAGTGAAAATTATTTTTCTATGGAACAACACGCTATGAAGTCATATTAAGGGTAATTGTGTGAGTTTGATTTGTCACCCTTTCTGGTACTAACTATGGCAGGGTATCATCAACTTCACACTTAGATGTCACAAAAAACGACGGCGTCCCCAGTCATGCAGGTGTCACGGTGCTGCTTACCTGGGCAGGGCTGTGTGTTGCAGAGAGCCTCTTCGGTGTGCAGCCCCAGGCAGATGTCCCCTCCATAGGCTGGGGCGGGGTTTGTGCACGAGCGCGTCCTCATGTGGTGTCCGCCGCCACACGTTGCTGAGCACTGTGACCAGGACGACCAGCAAGACCACCCGCCATCCACTGAGAAGGAAACAGAGTCACCCCTTCTTAAACTCAGAGTTGAAGAACCGACAAAGCTGCAGGTAGAACCTGAATCACTGGGCACATCAGCAGGGGTGATGACACGGCTACTGACCACTCATTGACTGGAGGGCATTGAAGGGCTGCCTCCTGTTCATGGATCCCAGTTTGGATGTTTCTCCCCGTACTTTTTCAGTTCTCTGTACACTTTCTTTCAGAAACTATTTCGAAATACACGCTATCTAAGCATGAGGGTGACAAACGAATGAAATAAGTCTAATAAAAAAATTCCAGATTCGGAGGAGGACCATGAGCCGTATCATGAGCTAATCAATGTGAACCCCTTGGCTGGTTCTCATTTTTGGTATCTGAATCAGGAACTTGGCCAGGCAAGACTTAAAGCCAAGGATCATGATTCAAGCCACAGCTTTCTTTACTAACTAGATTGCAATTTCCTCCTTGACGGTGGAGTACAGAAAAGCCAATAGTCCCACTACAAAGGTAAGGTAAGGCCGGGTGAAGGCTGCCTCCTAAATTCAGGCATTAAACAACCAAAGCAAGTGTAGCCACACAAACTTCAAAGAACCAAGGGGAGGAATTCAAACGCCTGAAGCCAGCCTCACAAGGGAGTCAGTCAGAACAGCTTTCTTGATCAAAACTTTCCTCAACTGCCTGAAGCACAGAGAACCTCTCTGTCTGCTCACACTATCTCTGATTCCTGCAGAACAGTGTCTTGAACTCTGGAGCCTACCAGCCCCTCTGGGTCTAGGGGACCTCAGTTCTGAGACAGTTCTGAACCTTTCTAAAGCTGACACCTCCCACTGGCTTGGGTGTGTGATAATGTCAGGCATCACTTGCTGCTTGGCTGACTCCAGACCGAGGCTCCCTCTGAGTAGCCAACCTTACTTTGCTTAGACTTTGCCAAAGAAGGCCTTACACCCTAGTCACAATGCAAAAGACAATCAGAACCAGTGTGAGGGACCACCAAGCCACATTCCCTGAGAAATGAAACCTCATTTCACCCATTCTGTTTAGCCCTCATCTTTGCCCTGCTCACCTGTACGTGCAGAGATGGTGGTATATAGGTAAATATTCCCTTAATTCACTAAAAACAATGTGGCCACACCCGGCCAAGGCACCAACAAGTTTTATTACAGCAAAGCGGTAGAATAGCCGCCCACTGCTGATGGCTGGAATGGAGGATCGAGCAACACCCTGCACCGTTCCAGGGCAATAATGTCTCTGCTGAGGCCATGAGACTCAAAGTGAAACATACCGTCCCAGCAGTGAAGGTCCTGGCTTTCCAAACACCAAGTTATTTATGAAGCCACTATCTAGCTGGGGAGCCTCTGTGCCTGGAAGAAGAGTGTTTGTTGTTCCTTTACAAGCCATGCCTGCAGCAGCCATTATTCCTGAGCACTCAGCCAGGGCCTTTACTCTACTTTCTTGCTGGTGACACAAGCAATAAAATTCGCGGTCACTCTAACTCTTGGTCCTGTGTTCCACTGAGAGCAACTGGTCACTCCAGAGGCCCTTGAAACTGCAGATATCTCTTTGTCTTTCTTCAAAATCATGTGCCACATTGCCTGGTAGGAAACTGAACCCTCTGTGGGAGTTTTGGTAAACCAGGGCTCACCAACTTAAACATTAAAAACCCGATGAGAGGAATTCCCCAGTACTATATACATACCATTATTATCATATTTTATTTTCTCTGTTTGCTAAATAAACAGAAGAAACCACAACTGAGACTGCTGAAATAATTCCAGACACAAGATTGTTTGCACTAGAATGACAGACTGCATCGTATTACATCCATCATCATACACTACATCTCAGTTAAGTAGTGTTTGCCTTTGGCTATAAGCACAGGTGAAAAGAAACATTTTTGAGCCAGGAGTGGTGGCATCTGCCTGTAATTCCCGCACTTCAAAGGCTGAGGCAGGAGAATCACCACCAGTTCAAGGTCAGCCAGAGCTACAAAGTGAGTTCAGTGCTCACCTGGAATACATAGTAAGACTCCATCTCAAAACAAAAAACAAAACCATTTTGGAGAAGCATGAACAAAAATGTCTCCACGATGACATTTTAATAAATAAAAATAAAACAAAAACATTGGAAGTCAATTGAAAACTAGTTTGCAACATAACTAGAAAGTTTGTGACTTAATAGTTTACACAAATTTGCAGAATTTAACATTTTTGCTAATAGTTAATAAGGTATATGAGAAGGGACAAATTAATCAAATATATGATACTGCCCATAGTACCAGCAGCAAGAAGGCAGGTGTATGTTTGCCAAGATCTGGGAAATTTTTCAAAACCCTCTCTCACACCTATCTTCACCAAGGCACACTTTGCAGCAGGATTTTGCTGTCTGTAAACTGAGCAGGAGCTTGGTATCTGGTGGGCGTCCTTGCTCATGGCTCACTCCAGGGCAAAGTTAAGTTGCTGGGCCTTAGAATTCCAGGTGTCACGGAGCTTGGCCATCTCAGAACTTCCCAGGTGGTGCCGGGTCACGGGGCTGGACGTGTCCGCTAGATTGTGTCACAGCCACACACTGAGCAAGGCACAGTCTCTAAACAGCCCTGGCTTGAAAGGCTTGCAGATGGGAGGCCAACAGGTTCACAAAAAGGTGCTAATCCTCAGGAAGAAGCAAATCAAACCCACTGGAAGCTTTCACTGCTTGCCTGCTAGGATGGCTATGATTAGTTTAAGAGAGTTCATAAAAATTTCAGCCATTAGATGCTGTTGGTGAGACTGTAAAATGCTGCAGGTGCTAAGGAAAACAGTATGGCAATTCTTCAAAATCTTAAGAATTGAGCTCCCCTGTGATCCAGCAATCCCATTTCTGTGTACACATCCAGAAATTTAAATCAAGATCTCCAAACAGATTGAAATCGAGAACATAGCATTCCTTGGTCCATTACAATACTTACAGTATGCAATAGATAAGTTATACAAACAGCAAAAACACTGAAGGGAATGGATAAAGAAAATGTGGTGTACAGATACAAGGGAATACTATTCAGCCTTTAAAAGGATCTTGCCATGTGTCTGAACATGGACAAGCCTGAGAGAGATGCTAAATGTAATAAGCCAGATAGAGAAAGGTAGTCCTCATAAGCCCACTCACATATAGTATTTAAAATTGTCAAACTATTATAAACAGAGAGTAAAATGGTGTTTTCCAGGGGCATGGGGGAAGGGTTCAAAGGGAGTTACTGCTAAGCCTGTATGAAGCCTCCGTTATCCAAGAGGAGCAAGTTCTGGAGATCTACTGTACCACGCTGGACATCCGGCTAACCAGGCTGTATCGTGCACTTCAGCATTCCTTTAGAGTAGATCTTGTGTTAAGTGATCTTAGCTTAGTAAAAAAAAAAAAAAAAAAAACTGAAATCCAAAAATTGATGTGCTTATTTTGCCAATTTTTCATAATGAGGCAACTGTACAATCTCACATAAGGAAGCTGATGGACACACCTTGCCTGAGGTATTTGAAAGAGTATCCATTCCTGTCTGGGCCAGTTCACATCTCATCCAGTCTGACATTCCTCCCCGCAACACACACACCAACCATTCTGGTGTCAAGACAGCTTTCCTCAGCATGGGTGATTTATCTCTGAAGGAGCAAGTGTAACCACTGTTTGAATCCTGCACAATTTGAGGATGCCTGTGAGCAGAAGCCCATTGCTGAGATGTCCCAGTGGGGAGCACACATCACGGGCTCGCACTATTTCCATCTATTTCATTGTCCTCGGGGATAGACTAGAAGAACCGAGATATAGATGTTTCCACTATAAAAGGCATCTGAAGGGGGAATTTCAACCACCTCTTCACTCTCCCAGGCAGTTTTGTGATCTATAATTGCCCTATGCCCTGAACAACTCAAGCCTGGCTTCACTTCCTGTGCTTTATATCACAGGTTTGAACCTACACCTTGACGCACTGCCTCAGAGATGTGAGCATGGTGGTTTGTACAGAATAGAAAAGTATATTAAGTACTTCAGTACCCACTTGTATCAGAAAGGCTGATGTATTTCTAAAATAGAAACTACAGAAAACAAAGCTTAATGAAACAGCTTTCATTGTGAGGGGCATTTCAAACTCTGGTAGGAAAGCAGGGACTTGTAGGACCAAGGATGCAGAGGAAACACGAGTAACTGATCAAGTGATAGCACTTCAGGGGCGGAATGAGGCTGGGAATAATAATAGGGAATAATGATAATAAGCATGGTAATAATGAGGAGGAGGAAGAAGAGGAGGAACAGGAGAAGAAGGGGAGCAGAAACTCAGTAGGTTTTCCACTTACAATGGCCCTCAGGAATGTTCTAGAAATCAGTGAGGTGAGCCACAGAGAAGTCAGGTCGCGTAGAGCATGAGTAGGGAGCTGAGAATGGCAGCGGCCGGCTGAACACAGACCCGGGCCCATCTCTAGAGTGTGGAATTCCCATAATCCCTGCCATTTCCCCACACCAAAGTCTCTGAGAATCACCTCATGGCTTGACCGCCACCTGACTTAACCTATGGAGGCCTGGTTCGTGGGAATTCAGAAACATACTCAAACTTAGATCCACGTTCCTCTAAAGGAATCAAAACAACTAATTATGAGGAATTATTTCCGGTCAAATGAAATCTATGATTTAATTCAACAAAGGGGATAAAAATTCTTATTCCGGGAATTCTGGCTAAATACTCCATCACTACAGTAAAATAAAACAAACAGTGCAGTTACCAGTGATCAAAGAGAGCAGGATCAACCTGAATACAACCATACTGGGCCTGCCGTGCACACTCAGGGATTCTGAGTCTGGCCCTGTTGGCCTGGGACACGCGCATGTGCAGTACTGATTCCTCTCCACGCCGTGTGCAGCATGGAAGACGTGGCTTCCCACCAAAGGACAGAAGAGCACTCTGCTTCTTCGAGGATCTCTGAAATTAAGTCTCCTGCACCAACCGCCTAGCCACCCACAGAATGAGGACTTATGTACTCCACAGACAGTGTCTTTGCACCCCGGGAGTGTCAAACGGACATTATCCAGAGAACACACACTTGTCAGGGTTCCTTGATTCAGTTCAAAAGGTGGGCCGCTCCAGTAGGCACTTAGTGTTCTACCACCCTTGCATTTATTGTTTGTACAATAAAGACAAAATGGGACCAATTCAGTTAAATTTGCTCAAAAGAGTACAGTTTACTGTGGTAGGTTGCATGAGGCCTAAAGAAAACTTTGAGGTTGTTTTCGTCTCACGTAAATATTACACTGCACCAAAGAATCCTCTATTGTCAGGCAGGCATTGTGCCGGTGAGCTCTATCCCCAGCAATCTATTGTCTTTACCTTTGCAGGTCAAGGTCTGGATTCTTTAGCACTGTATCAAACATGCCAGGAGGAAAAGGCATGAAAGAGAATCAGTTCTGTCTCAACATTGAAAACAACTGATGTGAAGGAGGTATGAGTCAGATAAGCCCATAGAAGGTAAAGAAATGAATGTTTGACCCTGTATCACCTTTAAAACAGTATAATTTATTATACCTAATAGAATTGGAGATAGAAGCAAATTTCTCTTTCATTAACTTAAAGGGTATTTTACATTCCTCTAGTTTAAAATTTATTTAGATTCTAAGTCACAATGAGAAACTTTATTTTCAGTGGAACACAATATCCATTTGCAATTGTTCACTGGGATCATACAGGGTTAAACAAGAGAATGTCTTCCATGAGGTAAAAATAGCCCTACCATTGCCTCTTGATGACCATGCAGCTGAGCATCTGTAGCCCTGGGGCTTCTCACTCCCCTCCTTGCTGAGCTAGATTCTGATGTATTTATAGGAATTTTCCAGGAGGTTAGAAAGAGAGCTGACATTTGCACTATCCAGCCTTGAATTTGTCCACTCCCTCGTGGAAAGTGACTTGGATATTCTAATTCCACATTTTTTGGAATCTTGGCCTTTAACGGAACATGGGGACAGAGCTGTTTTGAGATATTCAGGTCATGTGTACATAGTCCTAGCTTGGCCAGCAAGTCAGCTAAAGCAGAACAGCCAGAGATGATGGGCTAAGTGTCTTGGAGACAGACAGGACTCTTTACACTGAGGGACTGGGGCAGTGTGCAAACATCTAGAGGAATCTGAACACTCTGCTAATGGCCAGAAGGAGTCTGGAGCCTGAGGAAGGGAGGGGCACGGAGGGATCCTGACATTCCCATGACACACTGCCTTGATCCACTTTACAGCGCTAACTCAAGTCTAGTGCTATCACCCACGGACTTCCTCCCAGCACCCAGGGGGGGATCTTCTCACTGGGGCTGTGGGAAAGAAAGGCTCTGTGACCTTTCCCAGCCTCACAATGGCTAGGCTGGAAAAGCTGAGTGTACAAGGAGGAGTTCCCCGAGGCTGGAAAAAGTCAGACAGAGATGCCCTAAGTAGAAGGGTGCAGTTGTAAAATCAGGGGCATCATTGCAAGCCTCAGACAGGAGGGTGGGATGGTGTCATTTTCACTTTCACCTGCATCATATCTATCCATCACCTGTGTATCCATCCATCTGGTCATTCATCTACCCATCCAGTCACTCAGAAAGTTGTGTGTACCTATGGGAAAAGATGCTAAGATCTTATGCCTCTAATAGTGTCATTCCCTGTGTTTGAAATGACCCCCCGACACACACACACCCTCCTCACACCCCATCCCTGCTGGTCCATGTGACCAACTCCTGCATGTCCTTCAACACTCAGTTCAGGAGCTTCTGGGTTGGTGTTGTTGTCATGATTTGAGGTCAGTAGGTCTTTGGTTGATGTGGCCACTGCATTGTGCCACCAGCTTAGTAGCAGGGTTGACATTATTCATAGGAAGCCTCTAAGTTCCTTTCTGACCTGGACTGCACCGCTGTGTCTTTGCATATACCCTGTGAGTAGCACAGAATGGTCACCCAAAAATGATTGCTGAGACTGGAATGAACTAAGGAAGCAAGGAGGATGAGGGGGCAGTGCTGTTTTCTCATCATTCAACTATGGCCAACAGATATTTCTGGAAGTGCTGGGCCTGTGTGGGCAGCTGGCAGTGTGGTGATGAGTGATGTGCCATGAGAGCCTCACTTCCTAGGGTTCCATCTGAGGAAACTCAAAGGCAGCACCCTCAGGGACAGACGGTGCCTGGTGGTTGTGAGGGACCACGATAAAGCACCTGTGCCCATGCAAAGGGCAAGTGGAAGCAATGGAGAAGACAGGGCCCACCCTGGGAAGTGGCAGGAGGTTGCAAGGCAGACATAGGTCAGACTATCAAAGAAGAAAGAGAGAGGGACCGTAAGGCCAGTGTCTCACCAAAAGCCCTGATTTCCTAGGTCTTATTTCCACGTCCCTGTGCTTGTTTGGGAATTCAGTGGCAGGAAAATCTGGGCTCAGAAGAAGGCCCTGACTCCCAGCCCTGTCTGCCCCCAGGATAGAAGTGTCTCTGGAGCACTGACTCAGGGGAGGACACAGGAAACTGGCACTCAGAATGGCTCGGTGCTCACTCTCCAACGCTGGACCCTGGAGGAGGACTTGGCGGGGTCTCCTTGAGGCCTGGGTCCACTGAGGTCCAGGAAGCGGCTGTTGTTTATTTCAGGGACACCACCCATATCTCCAGAGCATCAGGCACAGGTGCTCAGGCCCACAGTCCTTGCAGGGGCTCATGGGAATGTTTTAATTTACCTCAGAATCAGTGGAAATAACGAATACAGTCCAGCCCAGGCTATATTTATCTTTCTACCAGGGGAATTTGGAAGGAGGAGGCCCTCACCAGGCCCATGAAAGGCCACAGTCTTCAGATCTTTTTCACACAAAGAATTCAAACTCGGGCTGGCCTGAGAAAGGGCTGAATAGTGAGTTTAATATGTGGTGAAGTGGCCAGATTTGGCTTCAGATCAGCTGGACAGGGCAGGGATTTGAGGGACACCCCCCCCCAGCAGTCTCCCTGTCTCCCTTCTTTCTTCCTCTTTGGTGACAAGGTTACTCCATTACTTAAGAATTTCTTGAAAAAGTGCCTCCCAATCACCAGCTGGCGAGCTGCGCGCCCCTCAGTGAATCAGAAGCCCTCACAAGGCGCGGAGGAAGCAGCCTACTCACCTGGGCAGGGCAAAATGTTGCACTCCTGGTACTCCAGGGACGGGCCCAGGCACGGCACCCCTCCATACTTGGGCTCCGGGTTGTTGCAGACACGCTTCCGGCTCCGAATGCCCCTGCCGCAGTCCCGGCTGCACTTGGACCAGGGTGTCCAGGCTGACCAGCCCCCGTTGACAGCATGGGCTGAGTACCTCCCGGCGCGCAGGAAGTCCCCAGAAAGTCCTGCAGAGGGAGGAAAGGCCGGGGAGTGATTCTGCGGAGTGTTCTCAGAGGCACTGCGGCCTGGCCTGGCCTGGCCTCTTTCTGTCTCAGCAACGTGCTTTATGTCTGGAATTACCTTCTCAAATTCAGCAAAACTCTTTTCACACTTCAGAAACCAAAAAGAATACTACAGCTGAGTGACAACCTGCTAGAACTGAGGCTTCCTTCCCACAGCTGCTATTCACAAAGGAAGCTCCCTTTGTCAGCGTGGCAAATTCCTCACAGTTATTCAATCCTGTATTGGCAGTCCATTTATTTTTTGTAGAAACTCCTACAGAAAATTCACCTTTCTCACTTCCCAGAGAAATTCTACAACCAACTGGCCTCAGGAACCACGGGTCAGACTTTCAGACATTTCCGGAACCTGTTCCTCCAGCCATTGATGCTGAGGAAAGGGGCTGCATTAACTGCTCCGGGTCACAGGCCACAGAACACCTCTCTGCTCTGGAGAACACACGTCCTGGAGCCAAACACACCCCTGAACAACTCTGCCAAATGTCTCATGTGCCCACTAGGTTTTGAGCACATTTGCTAACTACTGTGTTTTCCAGGAACCTACAGACCAGTGGCAATGTAGCAACTGGAGCCTGGGGTAGGCGGGAAAAGTGCTCTTTCTAATATCGCAGCCAAAACACTTTCAGACTTACTATATATTATTAGGTCTCCTGGGAGTCCTTTAACTTGACAGTTGCTTAAACAGTCTTAGTCAAAATTTGTGTTTGATCTGATGAAAATGCCTCTCCAATTACAAAAAAAATACTTGATAATTTTCTTAGCCGTAGGTCTTGAGACACAGATTTTTAACAAATGCTTCTCAAAGGATGCGGGGAAGTTCTGAAGAATCACAATTGGGAGAAAACACACAGGGCCATAGCTCCATACACCGTGGAGTAACTTTGTTATTTACTTGGAAACTCTGCCTGTGAAATGCAAACCAGATACTCTTCAGAGAAAATGAATTCGAAGTGCTTTTCGGTCATGAAGCAGTATTTTGTGGGTAATCAATAAAGGACAACTCTGCACAATTAAACCTCATTTTGTGTGATCTGAGGCAAATGAGTCCCATTCTATGATCTCAAGATGTCAATACTAAAATGTGAGGATGGTCATTAGAACTTAAAGCCATTAGGGCACAGGCAATTCTTCCCAAGCCATGCCCACAATAGACTTTTGGAGAAAATACAGGGTGTCATTTATAAATGTGTTTTAAGGGTTTCCTTAGTTTATATTATTAACACATAACCCACACATTAGCTTTGGTTTCTCTTGCATCTAACAATAGAAAGAACAAAAATATAAGCTTGAAAAAGGAAGCTAATTATAGAGAAAGCATTGTTCATTTGTTCCCTTCCACTCAAAGACATAAGAAATAAGACAGTTTACAGTCTGTTTTGACATCAGGTAATAAGTGAATAAACTGAAAAACTATTGCCAGAGTAGCAATAAACTGTAAGAAGATCAGTTAAACATAACCTTCAGATAAACAACTAATACTACCTTAGGATATGAATGTCCCAAATCATATACACATACACTTATAAAAATTTGCATGGTGCACAGTTGTATTATAAAGATCATATGGGCAATAGTTACCTTTAAAAAATTGATGGTACCTATTTCTGTTGGAAAAAAAATTCTGAAAATACCTGAAAAATATATGGAAATTCTTGTATATCACAACTCTGACTGGAGATAACAGGATAACCCCTCATAGAGTGTAGACCTTTAAATTGGGTCTCTCTTTCACCTATAGTTTCATCATATACGCATCTTGCTAATCACACTGGAGTCTCACAAGATGAATAGGAATAACTGTCAATTGGTTTTTCGTTTCACTAGGTGGATGGTGTAGGTCTTATTCACATTGTACATTTATTTATAAGAACCCTTTGTCAGTGTGACTCATGGAGTCTTTTAAGAAACAGTACGTGCATATAATGGTTCAACTGCAGGGAAGTAGTAAACTGAATTCGGTAAACTGAATTCGGCAAGTAGTAAACGTCAGTAAGGGCAGTACAAGTAGATGAAGAAGTGCACTTTTCTTTTCTATTCTTTTTTTTTTTTTTTTTTTTTTTTTTTGAGATAGGGTTTAGCTATGCAGTTCAGGCTGGCCTTGAGCTCACTCTGGAGCCCAGGTTGGCCTCGAACTCACAACGATCCTCCTGCCTCAGCCTCCCGAGTGCTGGGATTACAAACATGCGCCACCATGCCCAGCTCAAGAAGTGCATTTTTAAAGCGAAAGGTGCTTGACAAGAACCGGCAGCCTCCAACCTTGCAGGCTGCCTGTCAGCTCCCAGGAGAAGGCTTGGGGACCTGCGATGTAAGATCAGGTGGTGGCCCTCATGCAGAGCCCTCCAGAGGAAGGCAGGGAGATTGAGTGTGCACAAACTACTCTGGATCTATGATAAGCACAGTGTTATTTGGAGGATAAAATTCATAGAACCACCTAAACACAGGTTTCCTCTTTATAACCATTTCAAGCACCCTGGTTTCAGTTACCTGTGGTCAAGCACCAGCCAAAAATATTGGTATTTGTCTCGACTCTTTCAAGAAGGAGACCACATAGCTTTTATTATACTGTACTTTTATAGTTGTTCTATTTTATTTATGACTCAGTGTTGCTAACCTCTTCCTGTCTCTTCCTGTGCCTAATTTAGAATCACCAGGAGCCTCCAAATTACCCCTCACAGACAAAGGACTACTGTACATAAGTAAATTCTTATAGTAAAGGTCTTTCCTTTAGTTTTCTGCATAAAGTTAATTCTGCTCTGCAAGATCCTTGTGACAAGAACAGCTAAGCCACAATCACAGAGAAAATCTTCCCCCTTGTGTGTCTATGACCTTTGAGAAGGGATCAGGCACTTGGACGGGACTAGTCCCTCCCGGTGACACTGTTTCTCACCATCTGTGGAGCAGCCGCTGGTTCCATCACTAGAACAGTACCGCATTTCAATTCTCTGCCTTCCCACTTCTAGCAGATTGGGATCTGGCAGGCGGGCCTTGCAGGTGTACCGGAAGCGCTGCTCATAGTGGCCGCCATTGTCAGAGATGTTGACGGGCGTCCACGGTGTCCAGGGTGTGGTCTTCTTTAGCTCAGGACATGGGTTGGTGTTACAAGGCTGGTATTCCTGGGAGAGAGAATGTACGGTGTTTCTTACTCTAGGGCGAAAAGCTCAGGGGAAATTTCTTTCTTTTAGAGAAAGGTGAGGGCATCCAAAATTTCAAAGTCTACAATGCTCAAAGCCACGCTACAAAATTAAAAACATATTTATATTTAAATAGGCATTTTGCAGAATGGTGAGTATTCTAGGGATCTCCAAAAAGAGCTGACAGTTTCTCTGGCATAAACTTTAAATCAATAAACAACATCATATGGGAAAACATGGTGATTCTGTAAACCATTTTCATTTCACTTGATACATAACTCAAGAAGCTGATTATTTTGACGTTAAGTTTAAGTGTTTTCTTTAAAAGATTAAAGTTAAAATAATGGAAGCATATTTTGTTTATTAGACTACATAATATTTAAGATTCATGGATACTGTAAGCCTTGGAATCACAGATTCAAAGAGTTGAAGTTTCTACATATCAAACGGAAACACAATAATTACACTTTAATTCATAAATTTCCATCATTTCCTCTACCAATACAACAGTGGCATTTCTTAGTTTTTCTTCCATTCCCTCACTCGCAGATACCTTCCTTATACCCAGAGATGAGTGAGTCCTGGGCAGCTGAGAGAGACTAGATTTGAAGGTCTGCCCACAGACATGCGATGGGACTTGGATGGGGGAAGAACTTTGGACTAGGATGATGAAAATCTGCCTGGGGAACCTGCTGATTTATTTGACAATAATTCTAAATACTATGGCCTCACAGTAAGAAATAGAGAGGTTAATCTTTAATGCATTACTACACCACAAGTCTTCCATTTAACAATAAATGATATTCTACTAGAAGGAAAACCAACAGTGTATAATGTACTTACTTATGCTGATCATTTAATATATTGTTATCAGTGTTAACTACACACATAAAACAAGACTGAAATCTCTGTTTTAATATAAATAAGAAAACTGTTCTTTTTTCCCTCTGTCTTCCCATCGCCCGTCATCTTAATATAGTTACGCTATAATTTTGCTTAGATAAAAGCCAGTGTTTTACTGATCACTAGGTAAGGACTATTCATGCCAGAGAGATATATCAAATTGCAATTGATTGCTATTTCCTGTCAGGTCCCCTTCCAGTCCAATGCACTGGTTCCCTTGTTTCTTTTTGTTGCTGTTGTTTATTCATTTATTTTTTGTGGAGGTTGTTTAGTTTCTCGGGTATTTCAACACAGCAGTGACTGTACAAACTGCACGACCACAGTGGGACCTGGCTGGGTCACTGGATGGAGGAAGCAGTCAGAGTCTCCACCCTTCCATGCTGGGCTCAGAGGGACTCCTCTAGCGTCTCGCTCTGCTTCAGGATGGAGGCCTGGTCTGCAGGCATCAGGGAAATGAGTGGAGGGAGAGTGCTGGGCTCTTGGTACCCCTCCATAATCATTCTCTGCTTTAGCCTTTCCCAGCTCCAGACCCAGTGGCCAGAGATCCAGGAACTCTTCTGTTTTCTCTCCAGAGTATCAACTTCCTGTTCTTCCATGGACAGAATGGATCTAGGCTTCTTCTCGAAGAGGAAGGAAGGCATGCAGGTCAGATAACTTCTTAAACCCAAACTTTTGTGCCACTAGCAAAGAACGTGGGGCTACTGACTTCTGAGCTCTCTGGACTCTAGGCTACGATCCTCACCATGGACAAGCAAGGCACGGCCAAGACATTTCTAATTTCTATGACTAAGTAGCAACATTCGTCAGACTCTGTACCTGCCAATTGTAATGTGTTACACTGAGAAGTTACAGAGCAAAACCAGTAAAGAGAAAAGGCTGTGAAAGTCCCCACAAAACCAAACACCAGCATGACCTGCTCCCAGTGGAATCACACATGAGCTTAACCTCCACAAAGCAGTTGTGACAACAGGTGTGACATTCTGTCTCAGCGAGAGATGCTCATTGGAGAGTCAATGCCCAGGGGTTCTCTGGGAGTCTGACACATTGACCTTTCTGCCTGTCCTTTACCAAAACACCAGACTCCACAGAGGGACACAACAGCTCAGTGTACGCTGCACTGTTTGCACAGAGCTCAGGTATACAGAGACTCTTGTCATCCTGAGAACTTTCCTGAAGCCCAATTTTCCAGATGCCAAAGCTGACCTTGCAAGCAGGTTGGTGTGGTCTGGCTTGGAGGCAGTGTCAATGTCTTTCTGCAGTTCCTCTATACCAGTCTTTAAAAAAAAAAAAAAAAATCTGGCACTTCTTTCTTTTTTTCTGACTTTGGAGAATTATTAGAAGGTTGAAAAAACTATCTCTTTCATATTCAATTGGTGAATTTCCAGAACAGAGAAAGGTAGCTGTCCATGTATGTCCACATTACTAACTTTAACTGGAAGCATGGTCCCCCCCTAGTCACTATTCTAATTATTCCAGTTAAGTTTCTTTTCTTGTAATCCATCTTTTGTGTTTTTCTAAAAAATGAACACTACTTGGGAGTTAAGAGGAGATATATAAAGCATTTAGGCTTGCTTCTTTAACACAGCTCCCCATTCTTCCTGGGGAATACCATCTCCCTATCGCTCAAACTAGAAAGGTAGAGGACTTCACTTTCCTCTGTGGACAGCATCTTCATTACAAAATCTTTTGGATGCTGTCACCTAAATGAAAGGACCGCACCAGCAAGTGCCACAAACCTAATCCTGTGAGAAGCTTGCTGCTGCTGCTGCTGCTGTCGCTGCTGCTGCTGCTGGTGTGTGTGTGTATGTGTGTGTGTGTGTGTGTGTGTGCACGCGCACTCCACCTTTCAAGAAGGCTACATGAGAGGAATTCAGTAAACCCTTATTTTAGCTCTTCTGTGCCCATGGTGAAGGGTGCTGCCACCTCTGGACTGAAACACACCACAGTCCTTGCTCCTGTCACTCCATGCCAACTTGGCCAGGGACAATGTCTGAGACTTCCTTGCTAAAATGGACTCATGGTGGAAGATGTGCAGGTTTCAGGCATTGCTAAGTTTTATCCTACTTGTAAAAGAGTAAGATCCAACAGTTTAGTGAACATAAAATGTACTCCCAAAAGCCTTAGCTCCCTTCCACTAGAAGTCTCATCTTTTTTCGGGAGATGAGGTTAACTTTTGAAATCCATAGTGGTAAATATTCTTTGGGGCTGGTGCCGGTGTCCAGGCTGGCTATCTGAGCCAGTCTGGGTAGGACAGGATGCCATACGTCCCAGGAGTGGGCATAGCCCAAGGCTGGAGAGATCAGTTCGGGCTCATCAAACCGAAGCCTCCAACAGCTACATTTGTTTTTAGGTTTTTATTTTCTCACAGAACAAATTTTAACCTGAGTCTTGGGACTTCTTTCAACTGGGTTTTGAGGTTTGACTATGATGCATCCACTCAAAGTAACGAATTATGAAATGGTTGAGAAATGGTAAAGTTAATGTCTTTCATATTAACACAGTAACCAAAATTATGAACTGACTGAATTCAGTTGTGATCACTTCGATGGATTAACTGAATCTGTATGCTACAATTTACTGGTTTACTGCTGCTATAACTATGTAAATTTAAATGGAACTTAAACAGAAGTACATTTAATGCTAAAGAAAAATGGCTTTTAAAACCTACTTTAGGGAGCTAATTACTATTATTTGCTACCTAGCATTCTTAACAGTCTGGTACAAATTATAAGATAAGAATGGTTACTAAACCAGTTTTAAACAATTCCTCCTGATATGTCCCCCCATGAATTCTCTATGCCAGGCAACAGCAATGAACCATTCATTTAGAAATTTAATCCAGAAAGCTGTGAGCCACCCGGCGGGTTCTCCCCCGCTGCTACGCCAAGCCCTGCAGACGTGGCCTCTGGTGTTCGTTCTCCTCCTGCCATCTCAATCACCTTTCTGGTTTAGCAGGGCACCAGCACTGCAGGCCTGTTGTACAGGCTCAAAGCATACATTTCACTGAAGTTAACTGTCAATGTATAATTCTGCCTCCACGAATAGCTTGCAAGTTGTGAAGAGCACAGAGTTTGTCATATTTATTCCGCATTGCGCATCTTGAACACAGTTGCCCTATTAACTTGATGAATAGATAAGTCACTTTGACCAAGTTGCAGATAAATTTCTACTTCAGTGAAATCTGCATACATTTGGGGAGAAAACTTTTGGAATTTGCAGCTAAGTGGAGCCTCCTGTTTTGATTTTATTTATTATACTGTGATTTTGTTTACCTTTTCCTTGAAAAGTCTAAATTATTTTATATATTATAGATTAAAGGCAAACAGGAGAGATGGAGACAGTCTAAGCAGAATTTTGATACCATCAGCTCCATGCAAAGTAAAACAATCACCCTTAAAGACAACATCTGAAAATATAAACAAAATGTATTCTTAAGCAGAATACTTATGGTTTCCATATGCATTTATACAGTTCTCTTTCAGTGACCAAGCTTGGCATGTTGAGAGAGAAGGCCATTTGTCCTAAAAGAAATAAAAAATTAGTTCACTTGTGTTTGCAAAGGGCCAATGCATTCAAGAAGTGCGGGGAAGTAGATCCACATCCCAGGGGCCTGTGGCAAAAAGAGCAAAGACGGACACATGTTCCCAGAATTAGCTTAGTTGTACCAGGGAAGAGAGACAGGTAACGGAAGGTAGTGGGTTCAAGAGCATATGGTCACAGAAGGACTCATGCTTCCCAGCAAGAAGGAGAACAGAAACAGCCTTAACCATTTTCACCTGAACAGCTAAGTTCCAGGAAAAGAAGGGTTAAGAAGCTGGACTTCAGGCAATGAAGGTCGGTGTTCACTGGGTGATGGGAAACAAACACGGGAGCCCAGGCAGGGTCAGAGTTCACAGATCCAAGAAGGTTTTCAGGTGGTGGAACAGGGGATGGAAACCCAGGGTCGGGCCAGGCAAGACAGGGAGGAGACAGAGACCGGATCCTGGGAGTCAAGGCGCTGAAGTACTCAGAGAGGGAAAGAGACATGGCACGAAATCCCAGAGATACACAGAGGGGCCCCTGAGCATGCAATTGAGGAA